CTTTCATCACCATAGGCTCTTGCTCATATGTTGTTTCATGAAATTCTTCTGTGTCTTCCAATTCCTTTCGATACAGTGACTCAGCATATTCCTTCCATCTTCTTTTTTTTTACTTCCATCTTCTTTTAATACTTCCGGGATCATTTAACATTCTGCCGAAAGCATCCTTGAGTATAGCAACTCAAGGTTTGAATTCCCTAATTTTAGGCTATGCAATATTCCCTTGTTTGTGACAGATCCTGTACAAGCACAATTAAGTGTTCTGGAATTCCCATTATTCACAAAGTTAACAACTTGTTATGATCTACACAGTCAAATTCCTTTGCCTGGTCAATTAAACACAGGTGAACCTTTTATTTAGTCTCTGCTTTTAGCCAAGATCTATCTGGCATCAACTATGATACCCCTCCTTCCACACCTTCTTCTGAATGTGGCTTGACTTTCTGGAAGTTCTCCATTACACTGCCGTACACTGTTCCAACAGTTTTCTAAAAATTACCTAATTTGCTGTGTACTTTCGGGTAGGTCTTTCAACTCTAAAGTTATGGGGAGTGTGTGTAGATTTACTGTGTTACGTACCATCGGGATGGAACTGACCCACAGCCAACCCTCCAGCGGGTTTTCAGACACAGTAGATTGCATAGAAGGAGATTACCCAACTTTCTCCCACAATTCCTTTCAACGAAGCCACCAGTATTCCAAGTGTAGGCTTGTTGTTGTGTGCCATTGAGTCAGAACCAACCCATGGCTGACCCTCAAGAGGCTTTTCAGAGGCAGTTTAATCACATTAGAGGAGACTGCCTGTCTTTCTCCCGTGGAGCAGCTGATGGATTTGAACCACATGCCTTCAGGATTGCAGCACAGTTTCTTATCACTAGGCCACCAGAGCCCCTCTTTGGCACCCTCTGGCAGTCATGGAGTTGTACCATGCAATGCTCATATCAAGGGAGCAAGATTAGATGGCATTGCTGACTGACAGCTGCCCACATCATGGGATGTGCAGGGACATTTGGATGAATTCTCATTTCCCCAGACTGTTTTCAGGCAAGAAAGAGCTGAGCACAGTGCAGGTTTCAGGGCTGGTGATTTATGCTTGGTGCTGAATCTTCTCAAGGGCAGTCTTTGTTCACAGATGACCCATGAGACTGGCTGGCATGTTCCCTCAGTGACCCCAGGGTCTCAGCTCTTCCTCTCTCCATTCACAAATGTCAGACCAGCACGGCAGCTTGGAGGCTCTCCCTGCCTGCTTTTGCTCCCCCAGCTAGATCTTTGCCATGATAAGTCTCTTCTCAATCCAATCTCATTTTTGCATCGTGTTTCAGAGGAACTAAACCACAGAGCAGCCTAAGGCCACAGAGCCAAAAAGTGAAGGTTCAAAGCTAGCTCTTTCGACCCTGAGCGATTCTGTCTCTGTAGACAAGTCACAAAGGAATTTTTGGTATCTTTTCACTTATGTCTCTTTCAAATCACTTGGATATGCCAAGTTGTTCCTCTGACAAATCTCTACTCATTCCTTCTCCCTCTAAAAGGATGTAGCTTCTAACACACACACAGAAAATAAAATTCTCTAAAACGGATCTATTTGGCACTGAGTCTGTCTAAAGGACGATTTTCCTTTGACTGTTAAAATGCAAGACAAGAAAGGTGATTTATCAAAGGAAGAAACAGCAGCTTTGGGAAGACATCTCAGCATTATTTTTAGAGCATCGTCAATTCTCAACCAGAGCTGATTGTTCCAGCCGCTGTCACATTTGTGTTCCAACAATGGGGGTGGGTGGAGAGCATGCTGCCAGCGATCATGCAACGTGAGTTTTTCTGACTAACACTTAACAAAAATGACAGTGCCCCCTTCACTGGCAGCAGGTGGCTAGGGTCACGCAGGCTAGCCTTCCCTAGAAGGACGGCAGGGTCAAGCTCTGAGCAGGTGTTGGCTCAATGTGATGAAATCCTACCTGGGTGTCAGAAACTCCTGGGGAAGGGCGAACAGCAAATGGCTGGTGGGACTTTCCCCAAACCGAAGGGCTCCGTAACTGGCCTTGGCCAAGGCAGGTGGCTGGCAGGTCTGTGCATCTCTCCACATCTCCCAGCTCCTCAGGGAAGCCACTGGCATGTCCTGCAGTGGCTGCGTGAGAGAAAAGAAAAACACGAGGACAGCCAGTTAGCAGGGAAATAGTGTAGCATGCCTGTCTCATTATCTGTCTTGCACGGTTCTCATTCTTCATGCAAAGAGATGGACTCAGTAGAGAAGACCAGGAACATGGTACCCTGGCAGATGTTCTTACTGAGGACCCTTGGCAGGGGCAGAGCAGAATCTGAGGGCACTCGTCAGCCCCCTAAGCCCTCCCAGTGCCCATCAATGTCTAATTATGGATTCAACTTGGGAGCATCTTGACCTCAACACGTCAACTCTACTCATTGCTGTTGAGTCATAGCTGACCCCCCAGAAGGTTTTTAGAGGCTGTAAATCACATCAGAGGAGACAATCCATCTTTCTCCCTTGCAGCAGCTGGTAGATTCGAACTGTTTGCCATTGGGTTGGCAGTGTACCTGCCTACCCACTAAGCCACCTGAGCTCCCTTTCTTGACACTGTTATTACTGTGTATCACTGAGCTGGAAGTGACTTCGAGCTGAAGAGAGTGACTGTCTTTCTCCCGTGGAGCAGCTGGTGGATTTGAGCTGGATGCCTTTGGGTTGACAAAGCACTCCTTCGCACCAATCCTCTTACCATTGGTTGTTGTTACGTACCATTGAGTTGAGTATGACTCACAGCAACTCCATGAACAACAGATCATAATCTTGTCCTTTCCTGTATCCTCCTCAACATCTCTGACATATTGAGCCCATTGTTACAGTCACTTTTTAATAGGAAGGTCTATATCCTTATCTTAACATAGTTGTTTGGTATGTACCATTAAGTTGGAACTGACCCATAGCTGACCCTCCAGTGGGTTTTCAGAGGCAGTTAATCGCAAGGGAGGAGATTGCCTATCCTTTTCTCACTGAGTGGTTGGTAGATTTGAACCATGTGCCTTTGGGATTGCAGCACAGTTTCTTACCACTAGACCACCAGAGTGCCCTTAACACTGTTGTTGCTGTTGTTAAGTGCCGTCAAGTCACAGGAGACTCATAGTGACCCTATGAAGGAGAGTCCTTGACACTTGGGTGCCTTTCATCCTTTCTCCAGGTTCATAGGGTTTCCAGAGGCAAGCTATTATGGAAGTGGATGCAACTCCTCATTCCAAGCTTGTTTTAATCGGGGAGTTCCACCCCACTCTCTGTCCGCATTGGGTGTTGTTGTTGTTGTTATGTGTTGTCAAGTCGCTTGCGACTCATAGCGACCCTATGTACAGCAGTTCTAAACTCTGCTCTGTCCTGTGCCAGCCATTAAGGCATTTGACACATCAGTGTCACAGTGGCCCTTAACACTGTTGTTGTTGTTGTTATGTGCTGTCGAATCGCCTGCGACTCATAGCGACCCTATGTACAACAGCCCTAAACTCCGCTCTGTCCTGTGCCAATAGCACTGTCTCCAACACTCCCATCTCAATTATCCCAATCACTGAATCAATCCACCTCATAGAGGGCCTTCCTCTCCTGCGCTGTCCCTCTACCCTCCCAAGCATGATGTCCCTCTCCAAGGACCGGTCTCTCCTCACAACATGTCCAGAGTATGTTAGACGGAGCCTCAGAATCCTTGCCTCCAAGGAGCCACCCGGTTTAACCCTTTCCAGGACAAATCTGTTTGTTTTCCTAGCAGTCCATGGTATTCTCAATACTCTTCTCCAGCACCACACCTCAAAGGCATCAATACTTTGAGCTGTGGTGCCCTTAACACTAGGAGGGTATAAATCAGTATTAAAATGGAGAGTGGGTTATTTTCTTGGGGAAACAAAGTTTATGGGAATCTAATACACCCTTTAATGCACCTTCTTTGGGGAGGATGTAGTTGTTCTCATTGTACACAATCCTAGTCTTTTTACTGAAAGCTGCTGAATGTGGAACCAGCAAACAGCCAGAGCCCGGTCCCACCACAGAGCATCCAAACACTATGCTGTGTCCTTGGAAGGTCCAGCATTTGACAAGCAGCACCAAGACATACACAGCCAGCCAGGGGGACCAGGACACCAACCCTTCCCTTTTGCCCACCCCTATGACCTCTGAGCACACTGACCCTCACTCAGTTCCCCCACTCCAGCCCTACTTATGAAATAGTGCACATCAGAGGCTGGAGGAAGAGAGTAGGAAACAAAACTGGGGCAAACCACAGCTCTTCTTTGCTCCTCTGTGTTGACTGAAGCACATACCTCCGTCCTGTCCTAGCTGATGTTTTAACAGGACTGAGTTATGCAGAAAAACCCAACGATGAAAAATGTCAAATATGACTTACAACTATTGGAAGAAATGAAGATTGCAAATCCCTTCTCCTTGTCCCTGCTACAGACTGGATTTTGAAAAAGGGTGTGTGCTTCTATCACCTGCCAGTCTCCAACTCTTTGGGGACTTTTATTAGGCAAAGTAAAACGTAGCAATTTGTCTTGCAAGGGATTGGTTTCAAAGCAAATACATGACCTAGCCCTGGCCAATGTGCCTCAAGGCTTTCTGATAACTGTTTACCTACAAGGAGAAAAAAGTAAGACACTGATAGAATTAATGCTTCTTCTACTGGATGTTACCCAGTGAAGATATGTTATCCAGAAAAAAGTGGGCCAAGAAACTGTGTGACAATAGTCTCTATACTGATGTATCAGGCTTTGAGCTTGACCTACCCTCAACTGTTCAGTACGTGAGATAATAGATTAGTGGTGAGATTATAGGTTCTCTTTATTGATTATTTCAAGGCAGAGTTCCTGCATCCTGTGGCTGAAGACTTTCCCAAAAGATTCAGATTCCTTCAATATCTGATGTTTCTCAACTCAATTCTGGATGAGATGCTTAGATCACACACACATTATTATTTAAAAATACTCTATATTGCACTATAGCCTTCAATATGGATTGCATTTGAATACCGAGAAAACAAAAATCCTCACCACCAGGCTAATAGGTAGCATCACAATAGATGGGGAAAAGATTGAAGTTGTCAGTTATTTTGTCACAATCAACATCTTGGTACCAGCAGTAAAGAAATCAAAAGACGAATTACACTGGGAAAATCTGCTGGCAGGGACCTCTCCAGAGAACTAAAGAGCAACTGTGTCAGTTTAAAGACTAAGGGGTGCCTGACCCAAGCCAAAATTTTTCATTTACTTGCTATGCATCTGAAAGTTGGACAATGACTAAGGATTACAGAAGAATTGATGCCTTTAAGTGGAGGTGTTGAATAAGAGTATTGAATATGCCATGTACTGCCAAGAGAACAAACAATTTGTTCTGTCCTGCAGAAAAGTGAGACTGGGGTGCTCCATGGAGGTAAGGATACTGAAATTTCCTCTCACATACATTGGACATGTCATCAAGAGGGGCCAGTCCTTGGAGAAGGGCCTCACACTTAGAAAGGTGGAAGGTCAGTGCAAGAGAGAATGACCTTCAATGAATGGATTGACACAGTGACTGTAAAAATGGGCTCAAGCGTGTTGGAGATGGTGAGGATAGAACATAATAGGACAGGGTTCAGAGCTTTAAGTTGTAGTCAATTCAACAGCATATAACAACAAGGTTTGCACTTGGCTGAGTGCAGCTGTTCAATTTAACCTACTAGAATATGACATGAATGATTTAAATTCACACCTTGATCCACCCAAAAGGAAAACTCATCCCAGATCTTCCTGCTATGACTCACACCAGTGGCCTCACTCCCTGGCTCACACATTCTTGCTTGTGTGTCGGCAGCAGTAAAATGAAGAGGAACAGGTTTGATAGATACCTTTTGCCACCTCTGTCATTCTGTTAAGTGACACCACCCTCTTTCAAGCCACTCAATCCCCAAATCTTGGCCATCATTGACACCTTCATCCCTTACCCCACTCATGTACTCTCTACATGCATTGTCGATCTCACTGATGTCATTTCTGGTCACTCCCTCCTTTTCACCCCAACATCTCTGTGCTGGAAATCAGGGTCCTGACTCCTGCCCAGACCATGCAGCAGTTCACTATTTTGACTCCCCATCTCTAGAACTTTCCTACTTCAGACTACCTCTCAGGCATGTCAGTTTAATAATCTTCATACTTAACTGAAAGTACATCTTTCAGTTACTATGCATTTAGCTAGAGAAATATGCCCCAATTACATAAGGCCATTTAAGGCTTACATGAACTGGCACTGGCATGCGACTCTACCTCCTACAATGCTCCTTCTTCTACTCTGTATGCAACCAATCACATTTATCACCACCTGCAAAGCTTTCCAAACCCATAGGAGCCCCTGGGGAGCAGATCCTTCAGAATTCTATAGCCTCAAGTTTGAATCCAAACTCTACCACTTCTTGATTGGGAGCTCTTGGACAAATCTCAAATTTCAGTTTGAAACTCAGCATCTTGACTTCTAAAGTCAGCGATGTATTCAGCTCTCAGGGTGTGGTGAGAACGGAAAGATGTCACATGAAAACCCAGGAGGATCAGAGAGCACGCATGCAAAGTGTCTTGCACCTGTGAGTCCCACCCACATCCTGCCTCGCAGCTCTGTGCCTCTGCTTACTCAACTCCAGGAGACACTGTCTCAACTCTGCCCACCTTCCAGACTCAGCCTACTAGAAGCCCCCTGCTATCCAGGGCACCAGGATAATCCCTGCTAGCCCCTTCTCCTGGATGCTATATGTTTTCCATGTCATTCTTTGCCTGTCTAATAATCACAGCTATGCATACTCATGGTGTGTCGACCACTTTTTAAGTGCTATGTGCTTATACTTCATTTAACCCTTACAATCATGCTATATTAGTATTATTTTTCTTCATTAACTAGAGGAAAAGGCCCATCGGTCAAGTCCTAATTCAAGGTCACATGCTAAATTTGGGCTCCTATCCTCCACAAATATGAGACAGTAAATTTGTATTCTCTAAAGATATTGACTGAGGAGACTTTTGCTACAGCAGCCCTAAGACACTGAGACAACTACACCCCTCCAGAACCAGACCAAACTCTCCACTATCAAGCTGACTCCAACATACAGTGACCTGAGTCTCGTACCTGAAAGTCCCACCCACAACCATAAAGGTTTCTGAGGCTGCACATCTTTATGAGACAAGACTGCTCATCTTTCTCTTGCAGTATGACTGGTGGATTTGAACCCCAAGCCTTTCCGTTAGCAGCCTAACACATTACACAACTACATCAGCTGGACTCCTTGTCACACACCTAGTAAGTAGCAAAGCCTGTTCCAAACCCAGGAATTCTCACCTCTGAACTCAGTTCTTCACTGTTATGTTATCTCCTTCTCTATTATTGGCCTTTTGGAATTAGCATTATGTCTCATTTTACCTAAACAATTTTACCCTGTATCAATAGCTTCCATTCCACCCTAGCTCTAGAGACCCTACAGAGATACCTGATAACCTTAGTGTTATCTACCTGGTCATCCTAAAGGCGACTCGTTGCTCAATATGGCACAGCTGACTCAAGCTCTTCCCTCCAAAGGCCTGTCCTTCTCCCGTTTCCATGACAGTAACTCTTGCCTCTCCCTTGCCTCACACATTCAAGTATCAGATTCTTGTCTGTTCTGGCTCTGAATAGCTCTTGCATCCATTTCCTTCTCCCACCCCCAAGTCTCACTGTGCTGACTTAGCCTCCCAGGAAGGTGCAGCCTTACCATGGAAGAATGAATTTATGACTTCCTCCCTGATGGGACAATTCTAAAGGTGCTCTACCATCACAGCAAAATGACAACCCTTTGAAATGCAGAAAGCATCTTTCTTCTCAATGGAATCACACATTTCTTAATAGGTTTCATATGTTTGAAATTCCCCAGGTCACCGTGGACCAGGAAAGTCCTGGAAGACAAGCAGCACGGGCTGATGCGAAGCAGAAAGTGTGTTCACCAGAAGCTCCCTGCATCTAAGGGGAGATGGGCACTGGGTCTGGTCACCTGGCCTTGAATCCCAACTCCACCTCCACTTGTTCAGGGCAAACTGCCTGCTTTCTAAATGGCAGCCTCTTTTCCTAGACGATGTGGCAAGTACTCACCAGGTTAATTGAAGATTTGTAAGAAAATCCACTTAAGGAGCTTAGTGCAGCGTCTGTTAGCTGGTGGGTGCTGGATGCTCTCCATTAATCACATTAATTCTAACTTCGGACTGGGGAGGTCACATTGCTCACGGCAGGCAGAGCCAGGAGCTCCTTTAAGTCCTAACCCTACACTCTGCTCCTAGATCTTTGAATCCTATCCCTGGGCTCAATTCACCAGGATGTTTTCACTCCTCAAACCAAGGAACCAATGAATTAACATTTCTTTGTCAGTTTCTCTTAATATTGGATGTGGCTACTACCTGGGAGCTTTCCAGACCATTGATTCCTGGGCCCACCCCAAGACTGTGATTTCATTGAGTGGATGCAGCCTGAGCCCTGGGCTGGTCCATGCTCCCAGGTCTCTCTCCTGTGCAGCTGAGGCTGAGAGACCCAGGTCCAAACAAGGACCATTTGTCAGAAAAGCTACATTACGGCAGAGGAAAGGTCTAGAGAAAACTATTTAACCTACTAGAAGCACAGTTCAAGTGTTAAAATAACAAGCCATTCTCCACATAATGAAAAACTGAAGTCAATTTATGTTCTAAGACTGCAGAAATTATCAACTTTTCATCAAGTTCTAAAATGAAAGCAGGACAGAGAAGCCCTTGGAACATATTGGTGTCATGCAACCGTTGATGACCCACTGGCCTCACTTCTTGGAGCACCAAGCCCAATCAGATCAGGTGATCCACACGGCTTCTGTCCTAACATGTCTCACCAGGCAGGCTATGAGCAGCCTCAAGAGGGGAAGAGTGGAAGCTGGAATAAGGGACTGACACTTACCAGGCTGAGCCTCAAGGTCTTGGGTTTGCGGAACTTGGTCGAACCACTAAGCAACATTAGAAAAGGTGGTGTGTTTAAGCTGCAGCCTCCGACGGACACGTCTCTCTTGGAAGTAGTGTTGATCAAATCTAGAACCTCGGGGCCCTGTGATAATCTGAAACAAGGATGGAATGTAAGTGGTTGCCAAGCCCACGGATGAAGACACCCCCCCTGGCAGCGAGAGCGCACTTCAAAACCATGCTCTTACCGTCATAGAGGTAAACTCCGTCTCCTACCCGGACAGTCCACCTGAGGATATACCCCACTAGCAGAGCCCCAAGAACACCTAGCTTGCTATTTGCTGACAGAGCCTCCAGAAACTTCTATGGACTTAACCATCCAGGGTCATCCAAGGGCAGAACACCACGGCTCTCTCTTGGGAATTAACATCTTTGCTTTGACTGTCTCATTGCCATCAAGTCAGAACCAACTTGTAGCCGACCCTCTAGCAGGTCTTTGGAGGTTGTAAACTGCATGGAGGGAGATTGTCCATATATCTCCCTGGGGGACGCTGGTGGATCAAACTTCCAGGGACATGACTCCTTCGGGTTAGCAGCACAACTCCTCACAGATGTCACCACCAGAGGTCTCTGAGCATCATACAGAAATATGAAAATGAAGTATTCGAAGACAAGGGCACCAGATGAGAACACAGGATTACACTAACTCTCAGAAGAGAGTTGATGGGGTGATTCATTTTACTATCTTTGAGTAAGAATCCCTCAAAGATGGGGAAAATGAAGTTTTGCTGTATCTCATGTTGTCATTGATTAAAAGTTAAAGACTATACTCTTCAGTATGGATTGTACCTCAACATAAAGCAAGGATAAACCTCAAAGCCTCACAACTGGACCAGAAAGCCAACATCAAGATGAATGGAGAAAAGACTGAAGTTGTCAACAACTTCATTTTACTCGGATCCACAATCTCCAATGACCATCCAGATAAGAAATCAAAACATGTATTGCATTAGGGAAATCTGCTGTCAAGGACCTCTTTAAAGTGAGAGAGTGCAAGGATGTCACTTTGAGCATCAAAGGGCACCTGACTCAAGTCATGGTATGTACTGTTTGTGCATGTCAGAGTTGGACCACTGAACAAGGAAGACCGAAGAACTGAAGATTTTGAATTGTGATGTTGGCAAATACTACTGAATATACGTAGGGCTGTCAAAAAAGAGCAAACACATCTGTTTTGGAAGAGAATGTTCCTTAGAAACAAGGATACTAAGACTTGGTCTCACATACTTTGGACATGTTATCTGGAGGGGTCAGTCCTTAGAGAAATATATCTTGACTGGTAAAAATAATGAGTGAGGGGGAAAAGAGGAAGACCTGCAGAGGCTGGGAGGAAAGTACAAGATCAGACACTGTTTCGTTTTCTTGTGTATAGGGTCTCTGTGAGATGGGGTCAACTTGATGGCACCTACTAATAATAATAATATGATTGTTATTAAAGGTTTTCAGGAGTGCAAAGTTGGTACCAATTCCTCTACCCATCTTCTCCATAACTCCCACTTTATGCTACAATTAGGAGGCAGATGTTCATGACTGATGCTCCATCAACCAGGAGAGGTATGAGAACTCGGAGCCTCACAGTGGTTCAGAGGGATGGTGTACTGACAGAGGGAGGGACAGCAGCCTTTATGGCAGCATGAGGCCAGTTAAGGGTCTTCAGTCTCAAGGAAGATTTTGTCTCTTCTATATATCCAATTATTTATATTAAAATAAGAGAAAAATCTGGATTAGTTTTTATTAAGCAGCATTAGTATGAGCACTTAAGACCTAGATGGATGGATGCACCAAGGTCTGCCTGGTAAAGGTCATGCTCAACACTACGGTGATTTGGTTTCCTAGAACTGCTTTAGGCATGTGAATCCTTTGGCCTTGAAAATTGTGGGGAACAGATGAATTCTAATTGCACAGTTTTGATTAAAACAAAAGAAAATTTCTGTTTGAATATTTTTAAGGGTTACAGTCAGAAAGTTAATTTTAATTGAGCCCTTTTCAAGGTTGTATACCACAGCTGCTCATCTTAAAGAAACCCAAAAGTCTTTTCCTACATCTGTTTTGTTGTTGTTGTTTTTGGGTTTTTTTTGGGTTTTTTATTATTAAATTACTTTTAATGAACATTTACAGAGATTTGGGGTTTTTAAAATGTGTGTGCCTTGTCAAAGAAGCCATCTTGCAAGTTGATGATATGAAAGCTGATCTTAGCACATTTACAAATCTGACTCTCATAAGTTGCCCAATCAGCTCCCCTCCCCACTGACAGGGCCATTCTCCTTGAACCCTCTTAAGTTTCAGAAACCCTCACAGAAAGTATCACTTACCTCTGGACAAAAATATTTGTTATGCAACCCTCAAAATCACTCCCACCCAGACGTGTGGACTGCTGGGAATTTAAAAATCCCTGTAGCCGCAGGTTAGTTTTCAGAGGCTTGTCATCCACCAGGAGCTGGAGTCTGAAAGAACATGGAAACAAAGGAAAGATGAGAAGAACTGCTAGAAAAAATTGCCTTCAGCTAGTCAGCTTTCTGTAGCTAAGTTATACTGAAAGGTGTTTACCTAACCTAATTACTTAAACTGGACTTGATCTTAAGACTATTTCATCATTTTCATAAATTTCCTTTTTGGCACATCAAATTTTTAGTCAAACATTTTACACAGAAAGTGCATATGTCTAAAATACATATCTCTTTATGATCCCAGCTATAAGAAATGTCTAAAATAAAGGGATGCATAGAGACAGAAGATTAGTAGTAGTTATCAGGAGCTGTGGACAAGTTTCTTTTTGGGGTGCCAAAAAGCTTTTGAATTGTGATGATATTGCACATAACAGTGGTAGTTAATGTCACAAAATGGCATGGGTTTTTTGTTGTTGTTGTTGTTATATATCTTTTAAACTCATTATTGTCGAGTGAGAATTCGAGATAGATGTCGAGTCAAATCTTCTAGTGGGTTTCCAAGGCTTGGGGAGAGATTGCCCATCTTTCTCCCTCAAAGTCACTGGTGGATTTCAACCTGCAGGGAGGCGCACAGCCTTTGGTTTAGCAGTGCAACACTTTACGGATGAGGCCACCAGAGCTCCCTGTATGTTTTACCACAATGAAAAAAAGTTTTAAAGGGTACAGTTCAATGTATTTTCACCATGTAAATACACCAACATAACCAGCATCCACCAAATAAACAGAGCATGCCCAGAAAGCTCAGAGTTCCTTATGGCCCTTTCAGTTACTATTATCCTGGATTTTGACAGAACAGATTTGTTTTCTCTGTGTTTGAGTATTATAAATGAAAACACAACATATAAGCCCTTTATATGCAACTTCATTCACTACCTATTTTGGTGTGAGTCTCATCAGTTTCCTTGTATTTGGCTGTTGATCATTCATAATCATGGCCATGTGCCATTCCAACTTTAATATATCATAATTTCCTTAGCCATCCAATTGTAGACATGTTATTTTTAATGCGGAAATTATACAGAACCAGGAAGGAGGACAAAACTTACTAACAAAGTAGTGACAGAATCAAGAACAAGTAATTTGCAAAAAGAGAACCATGAATCCTTTCCAATGAGATGAAGTAGCATTTTTACAACTCTCACAGAAATATTTCCCACTTACCCAGAATTGTCATTTATCACAGATACGTAATGCAGCAGGCCGTCCATATATGTCTTTGGAGATCTAAAGACAGGATTTCTGCTGTCCGGGGTGCTGAGTTCAATGTGACCTTCTTCCAGAGTGATCTGCAGTCTGTTGGGCTGAAATAATCATTGAATCTACTCATCAACACCATTTATTTGCACTTAAGGACAATGTATGCATCAATATTAAATGCATGATCAAAACCATATATAAAGATGGTTAAGATATTTTGACCCAAAAGTCTTAATTTCACCACTTTGATCTAAACATGTTTTTTAAGAACATTTCTACTGTGTTTATGAATTTTAAAATTCCATGTGAATTACTTCAGCACAGATAAATTACTCAAAATTTTCTAAATTTCTTAGACTGACATGCATGAAACCAATGTAATATATTAATCCTTGACATTGGTGGTGATGTTGTATTAAACCACTTCCCATTTAAACTTTATGGAACTGGATTTAGTTTCATTAAGATAAATCCTTTTCTGAATTTCTTTTCCAATGAAAACTTGATTCATCAATTATTTATCATGTAAAATCAGAACAATGAAATCTCCTCAGTCTTATGAGTTTTATTGTGTGGTCATCATTCCTAGGAAGTTCAGGTTTGTACAACTGTAGATATATATTTTGGTGAGAAAATTTCATCCTTTCTACCAAATTGGCCATATTTACATTGAGAGAGCTACGTTGGCCTAGCGGACAGAAAGTTACACTTTCTGAGTGATTTTAATCTGTGGTCCTCAGAACTGGTTCAAATTGTTTTTTGTTTTTTGTTTGTTTGTTTGTTTGTTTTGTTTTGTTTTGTTTTTTTGTCAAACAGTCTTCTAGGTGGTTTAGCACTGGTCTGTGCATTGCTGTATAGAGGTAACTCGTTGCTGTGATGCTGAACACTGTGACATTGATGTTGCAAATGTGATAATGGTTCCCCATGGTGGACAGTGTTTGGTGGAACTTCCTGATTAAAACAAGCTTGGAAGCAGGAGTGGCATTCACTTCCGAAATGGCTTGCCTCCAGAAACTATACGAACAGTGCTCAGGCCTTTTGTTCATAGGGTTGCTATGAGTTGTCTATGACTTGACAGCACACAACAACAACAACAGCAAGAACATTGACTGGATAAAAGAATACTGATTTATACATGTTTCCTAACTAATTCATTATAAAATTGAAGACAATGTCCCTATGATTTTTGTAAGATTTTTCCATTGTTTAGAGTTGACTTATTCTATTGATTATTTTGTGTCTCTTGTACTAAGATTCCCTGTCGTTGGCTAAGGAAACCAATGGTGAGCATCAAAAGGCCTAAGTCGAAACATTCTGCTTTGATGAACAAGTCTCCTCCCAGTCTCAGTGCTGGTATGTGCAAAAGGACACGACAAAGACAGAAGAGAAAGGAAAACACCAAAATGAAGGTCAGAAAAGAGTCTGGAAATTGCACCAGAGCATCAAGAAGCCAAAAGATATAAGATATGAAGCAGTAAAAGAGATGAACAGAAGATTCTGAAAATTTTGCAAATACAAAGCAAAATATTACAATGAAATTGGAAAGAGCTGGAGTTGGAGAATAAAAAGAAAGAACTGCTCAGTGTTTTTCCATCTGAAAGAACTGAAAAGACAAACTCAAGTCTCAAGTTGCAACGTAGAGAGATTCTAAGGGCAAAATCTTGAATGACCCAGGAAGCATCAAAAGAAGATAGAGAGATTGCACAGAATTACTGCACCAGAGAGAATTGGCTGACACGGAAATATTTCAGGGAGTACCACATGATCAAGAACCAGTGGTAATGAGGGAACATGTTCAGCGGCACTGAAGGCATTGGTAAAAAAATAAGGCCCCAGCAATTAATAGGTTACAAAATGACATGTTTCAATTAACACATGCAGCCCTGGAAGTGTTCATCAGGCTGTGTCAGAAAATTAACTACCCGACCAACTGACTGGAGGAGATCACTGTTTGTTATAATTCCCAAGAAAGGTGGTTCAGTTATTGTTATGTGCTGTCAAGTTGCCTGTGACTCATAGAGACCTATGTACAAGAGCCCTAAACCCTGCTCTATCCTGTGCCAATCTTATTGTCTCCGACACAACCACCCCCATTACCCCAGTCACTGAATCAATCCATCTCATCAAGGGTCTTCCTCTCTTGTGCTGTCCCTCCACCTTCCCAAGCATGATGTCCTTCTCCAAGGACTGTGATTCAGTAGAACATGGAAATTACCAAACAATATAACTAATATCACATGCAAGCAAAATGTTGCTTAAGATCATCCAAAAATGGCTAGAACAGTACATTGACAGAGAATTGCCAGAAGTTCAAGATGCATTTAGGAGAGGCTGTGGCACCGGGAAGCCACTGCTGAGGACAAGTGAGAAGAGGTATCCCTACATACTACATAGTCACATAGTTAAATACCATCTCTCCTAACAAACAGTAGATGTCTGCTAGTCATTAGATGTCTAATCTGGAAGAAATAAATCTAAGAAGCATAGCTCTCTACTTCTACTTTAAAACTTCATTCATTCCACAAGGAGATCTTCAAGTATTGCTTGAGGTCTATGCTTACACAAATCACCCTCTTAAATTGTAAAGAGTATATCTTTGCTTAAAAGAATTTCTGTAGCTTCCCCAACTCCCACGTAAATATTGTCCAATTAACTGCTGCCAAGGGGGCAAAAAGGAAATTTGAACATCTTTTATATAATAAAAAAAATAATAATGGGATCCACTCTAATTTTTTCCTTGGATCTAACACCTCAACTACATTATTATTTCTACATTATTATTTACATTAGTTATAATTCTCTTTAGTGCTTCCTTATAAAGTATAACTAAAAAGAATGAAAATCAGTCAACAAATACACACAAGTTTACTTCTTGTATTATACTTGTAGTTGTTGTGTACCGTAGAATCGGAACCAACCCATAGCTGACCCTCTGGAGGGTTTTCAGAGGCAGTTAATTACACAGGAGGAGATTGCCCATCCTGCTCCCATGGAGCAGCTCGTGGCCTTGAACCGTGTGCCTTTGGGATTGCAGAGCAGCTTCTTGCTATCAAGCTGAAGCTACCTCATAATGACTCTCTTTTGCTGAAGCTGTAAATCTTAAGAGAATGCGCCTCATCCTTTCTCCCCGTGGATTTGAATGGCTGCCTTTTGCTTAGCAGCCCGGCATATGACCTGTGTGCCATCAAGTCAGAAACTGGCTCACAGCTGACTCTACAGTGGTTTTTCAGAGGTTGAAAATTGCACAAAAGGAGATTGCCCATCTTTCTCCTGTGTACCAGCTGGTGGATTTTAACTGCCTGCATTTGGGTTGGCAGAGCAACTCCTTATCCCCTA